GGGGGTGAGAATGGCCTTCACACCACTCCAGTAAAGCAGGCTACACACACACACACACACACACACACACACACACACACACACACACACACACAGCTCCTCACTCAAAACCACCAAGTGCAGCTTTCCCAGCCACAAGCCTTAGTTCCCACTGCAGCCCTGTCAGAGCCCTGGGCTGAACGTGTTTTCTAGGTTGGTCTCTCACTCCCCAAGAAAGGCCCCAGTAAGTGCAAGACTGACAAATGGAGATGTAGGCTACCACAGGCTTCCCAGACCCCGAGATTTCCCCAATTCTCTGCTGGCTTTTTCTTGCTGACATTGTGTTCCATGGCTATACAGAAAATTGGGCGCCATGTACACAGCATGAGAGGGGGGGTGACATTAATGAGGTAAGGTCTGTAGCTCTTGCTTCTGAAGAGGAAGGTTCAAAAATCATAGATGTCAAGCCTCCCTAACACTCCGGTTCACTGATGCTCCTCTGACAAAACAATCTCCTATTTTTAAAAGCACGTGTGCAATGTGCTCCATTTCCGCAAGAGAGGGCCAGAACACAGTGTCCGTGTGCATGTCCTCCACATGTGCACCCGGTTTCCACGGAAGGCTGTTCAGCAAAGGTTCTGAGGGCTGTTCTCTGGTTAGAAAAGGAGGTCACTGAAATGGAGCTTGAACTGCAAATGTTTCTGATGCAACTTTGAACCATATAAATGTAGGTATACAGAACCGTATAAATGTAGGTAAACCTAGAATGAAGAAAATCTATAGGGCCAGACACTAGCACACAGTGTATTGAAGGGAAAATGTTCTTTACGTGGGGCTTGCAAGACACTGGTATCTAAAGAGGTTTAAGGCTATGGCCACAAAAACCTGTATGCAGCAAGATGCTAAAGGCATGCTCACAAAAGCCCTTCCTGCAAAGGGGTTTGCAGACCTGGGGTGTGTGCCCACAGCCACAGGGTATCAGCCTGAGTATGGACTCTGCTTTCAGGCCTGCATGACTTGCTTCACCCGGATCTGACCCTGGCCAGCGACTGGTAGGCAAGGAGGTAAAGGGTTGGAGGGAGAAAGCGAGGGTTTGTGGTAACATGTGCTCCCTGGGCTTCCAGGATCTACTGCATCACGGATATCGACCCAGACCACCGGAAACTCAGCCAGCTGGAAGCTGTGGTCCGCTTCCTGACAGGGATGGATCCAGGCCTGGAGTGTGAGTATCCGAACCCATGCCTCTGTACTTGTCCTCTGGGTCCCAGCAATCCAGGGCTTCCCAGGGGTTGAGAGTACTATCCACCTGTCCTGGGATCACAAAGGTGGCTGTATAAAAATGAGAAACCCCAAAGAAACAGTCAGAGCTGGCTGGGGCAGTGGGCATGCAGGACATGGGCATTCTAAGAACTAGAGGCCTGTACCAGGGATCCTCAGGTCAGAGGCCAGGATCTCCTTTAGCCCCCTCAGCCCTCCCGCTTGTCCAGTCTAATAACCCCACCACCTTAAAGTGGTCAAGGAGCAGACGCTGTCTTGAAGTCCTCAGTTCTGCCAAGCGTAGCATTTGGTCAGGCGGTCCCTTCAATCCTTTGGTCTGGGAGGATTTCCCAAGTCTAGGCACTCAGGCCTCTGGCCAGTTCACTTGACCGTGGTCCTCAGCAAGCCTCTTCCTCCTCTTCAGTGGTCCTGCTCCATATATGTTCTCCCCATGAAAAGACCATCTCCTGAACCGACCTACCAGGGCATCCATCTATCTCCCCATCAGTCAACAAGGCTGACGAGAGCATGTGCTTGCACCAGACCTGGGGCAAGGACTGAGATACAGACAACCCAGCCAAGGCCCGGCACTTACAGAGCTGGAAATTTGGGGGAGAAGCCAGGCAGTGATCAAGGCTGCATATGTATGTAGTGTTACAATCATGACAGGTGCCGTGGATGGAGTGCTTCGGAGGGGGGTGGAGGCAGGTGAGGGTAGGGTTACTAAAGACAAAGAAGATTGATTCCAGGTATCTGGGATCTTCTTTGAAGGCAATGAAGATATTTTGGAAGTACATAGGGTGGGTTATACAGTGGTGTACATTGAGTTGAATGCTGTAAGTTAGTTTTGTGCAACATACATTTCACTTCAATGAAAAATTAAAACCATTCTAAGAGAGAGGGCAGAGAGTGGCATCTGTGTAGAGTGGAAGAAAAGCAGCCAGGCCAGGGAAGCAGCAGGCACTGGGCCAATGAGACAGGGCAGCTTTGAGTCAGCTCAGGCCTGCAGCACCCACAGCCACCAGCATGTCCTGCATCAGGGAGCAGAGGGTGGGAGCTGACACAGGCCGGGCAGGCCCCGGCTGGATCAAGAGACTATCTAGACTCCACAGTGTTAAACTGGAAGGGCCTTCAATGTCAACGCACATCTATTCTGTGGCTGAGAATCTGAAGACAGAACAAGAGGGTTGATATCTTTCTGGCCACTCAGATGGCTTTAATACCCAGAGACACCAGCCGGAGTCTCATCCTTCTCCTGACTCCCACAGGGTAGGGGGCTGTGCGGCGGGCATTGTTGTTGTTATTGGACAGAGGAGTCTCAAACTTGCTCTATAGCCAACGATGACCTCCAGCTCCTGAGCCTCTGCTTCCAAGAGCTGGGATTCCAGGCTCGCACTGCTACCCCTGAGCTACACCCTCAGCTTCTGGGAGCTGTGCTGTTCCTAATGGGGTGGGGCCTGGGGTGATAGATGACGTGTGGCTGGTTCCTGCGACTTTACCCCCAGGTGATGAAGAGCTGGTGCGGGAGGTGCTGTTTGATGCAGTGGTGACGGCCCCCATGGAAGCCTACTGGACGGCACTGGCACTCAACATGTCTGAGTATGTACGGGAGGGGTGATGGCTTCAGGAGAGCAGGCAGCACATCCGGGCATGTTCTATCCCTGACTGAGTCAGATCCCTTGGAAAGACACAACCCCTCCTGAAGGAACCACGATGAAGACAGGGACATGGGGATATGGTGGACCCGGGGGTGAGAATGGCCTTCACACCACTCCAGTAAAGCAGGCTACACACACACACACACACACACACACACACACACACACACACACACACACACAGCTCCTCACTCAAAACCACCAAGTGCAGCTTTCCCAGCCACAAGCCTTAGTTCCCACTGCAGCCCTGTCAGAGCCCTGGGCTGAACGTGTTTTCTAGGTTGGTCTCTCACTCCCCAAGAAAGGCCCCAGTAAGTGCAAGACTGACAAATGGAGATGTAGGCTACCACAGGCTTCCCAGACCCCGAGATTTCCCCAATTCTCTGCTGGCTTTTTCTTGCTGACATTGTGTTCCATGGCTATACAGAAAATTGGGCGCCATGTACACAGCATGAGAGGGGGGGTGACATTAATGAGGTAAGGTCTGTAGCTCTTGCTTCTGAAGAGGAAGGTTCAAAAATCATAGATGTCAAGCCTCCCTAACACTCCGGTTCACTGCTGCTCCTCTGACAAAACAATCTCCTATTTTTAAAAGCACGTGTGCAATGTGCTCCATTTCCGCAAGAGAGGGCCAGAGCACAGTGTCCGTGTGCATGTCCTCCACATGTGCATCCGGTTTCCACGGAAGGCTGTTCAGCAAAGGTTCTGAGGGCTGTTCTCTGGTTAGAAAAGTAGGTCACTGAAATGGAGCTTGAACTGCAAATGTTTTTGATGCAACTTTGAACCATATAAATGTAGGTATACAGAACCGTATAAATGTAGGTAAACCTAGAATGAAGAAAATCTATAGGGCCAGACACTAGCACACAGTGTATTGAAGGGAAAATGTTCTTTACTAGCTTCTGTCTTACCAAAAATTGGTCTGGTGGGGGCTGGGAAGATGGCTCCATAGAGTGTTTGCCACACAAGTATGTGGACCTAAGTTTGGACCCCCAGAACCCACATAAAAAGCCAAGCATAGTATCCCACTTCTGTAACCCCGTACGGGGGGTGGGTAGAGATAGGCAGATCCTTAGGGTCACTGGCCATCCAACCCAGCCCAGTCAGCGAGCGCCAGGGTGAGTGAGTGACCTTTGTCCAGAATAAACAAGGCAGAGAGCAGTTGGAGGAAACACTCAGCATCAACCTCTGAGCCCCAGGTGCATATGCACATGTACACGCTCACACAAACACATGCACACACATAAAATTGAAAGCCAGGATGTCGTGGGGGTTGGAGGCTCTCCCACTGAAGATGCAGACCCGCAGGCTCCATCCCATTCCTATCCAAAACGGTGAGAAAGCTCTAAAGCAGCTCGACAAGACTTCTAGCCAGTGAGAACTGGAGAAAGAAAATTGTCTCTGTTTAAAGGTGACATGAGTGTGTGTGGGGGGAATGCAGATGACTCCATGGTAGAGCACCTGCCTAGCATGAGGCCCCAGGCTCCATACCCAGCATGGTAAAATCAATAAATATTATATACCAGGAAACTTCAAAAGAATAGGAAAATCACTATAGCCAATAAGAGAATTTAGTAAAGTGGAAGGTTATACTATCAATGTTAAGAAATTAATAATTCCCCGGGGCTGGAGAGATGGATTAGTGGTTAAAAGTACAAATTGCTCTTACAGAGGCGTTGAGTTTGGTTCCCAGCCCCCATGCTCAGAAGCTCACAGTTGCCTATAACGCCTGCTCCTGGGGATCTGACGCCATCTTCTGGCTTCCATGGACACCTGCACTCACATGCATATACCCACACAGATACATATTCATGTATGTTATTAAAAATAAATAAAATCTTATTTTAAAAATTAATAATACTTATGCATATAAATAACCCCCCCAAAAAAGAGATGCAATATGAAAAGACTTCTTTAGGATGGTAAGAAATAAAAATATTGTTCTAGAACTGTCAGAACACATTGAGCATACAGTGTGAGAACTGCTAAATGAAACATTGGGCCTCGGGCACCGGCCTGTGATTCCAGCTACTCAGAGAACTGAGGCAGGAGGACTAAAGGTTCCAGGCCTGCCTGGGAGACAGGGTAAGATGCTGTCTCAAAAAGCAACACAGGATACAGCTCAGTGGTAGCAGACATGAAGCCCTAGGTTTAATCTTGGAATGTAGGGGACTAGGAAACAATTCTCTAAGACAAAGAAGTAGGCCTGAGCACATGGAAAGACTCATGGTGTCTCTGAGTAGAAAGACAGACACCATGAAGCTCCTCCCTGGTGTAGACTCAAAGGGAATGCCTTTGAGACTGTCTCTCTGTATCCAGGTGACTGCTTGTAAAGTTCATTTGAAGAACAATCAAGAACAGCCCAATGTCTCAATCCAGGGGATGGTCCTACCTAGATGTAAAAACACTATCAAACCTCTGCCCATCCTGAATTGCGGTGCTGGTACCCAAAAGAGCAACCAGGCCCAGGGGGTTCACATGTGCACTTGTGCATCCCAAGGCACTGTGTCACGTTAATGAGGGAAGATGGGCTTAACAGCTGGTGTGGCGGCCAGCGGGACTAGCAGCGCTGGATGGGTCCACACTCCTGGATGAAGTGATTCATATTCACAGGAAAGAAGTCACGTCAGTACTAACAGATACTGTGATCCAGCTGTGTTAAAGTCTAGGCGTCAGCAAGCCTTCCTAATGCTGACTCGAAGCTCAGAAGCAATGCAAGAATGGCTGATTAACTTAACAACTTGGAAATGTCTGTATGAGCAGGGTGCAAAGAAGGGATGAGCTGGGAAGCTGCAGCCATGAGCAGGTGGAGGTACCATCTCTGCAGCTACAGTGTGGACAACAAAGAACTTCAGGAACAGACAAATAGAAGCATAGAACCGTACAGGGACAAAAGCCAAAAGAAAGGCTCAGCCCTTAAATGTGTGTCGACCCAGATCTGAATAAAAGAAATGTATATAAAACCACTCAAGATGGCACCTCTTGCATCCAGTGCAACTGAATTTGGCAGCATCCACAGGACACTTAGCAAAAGTATGTATGCTGAGAGCAGAAACTGATAAACTTGTGGCCTGTGCTTGGTTACCATGCTGCTGGAAAGGATGCTGGTGTGGCTGGATGTGGGTTAGGTCCCACTACATTAGCATCATTAGGAGCCAACATTTCCAACAAAAGGAAAAAAGAGACACAAGTTCCAAAACTCAAAAGTGTTTATATATAAAAGGTGAACATGAGGGGCTGGAGAGATGGCTCAGTGGTTAAGAGCATTTCCTACTCTTGCAGAGGACCTGAGTTCAGTTCCCAGCACCCATACCTGGCAGCTCACAATTGCATATAATTCCAGCTAGCTACAGGAGATCAAATGCCCTCTTCTGGCCTCTGTGGGTATACACATAAATAAAAATAAAACCTTTTTTTTAAGATGACTCTGAATTGTACACATTCACCTGAGTTCCAGATCTATTTTCTCTTAAAGCGATAAAGAGGCTGCCCCTAGCCTGCCCTGCTGGGGGACACAGCCTCTGGGGCACCCAGCTGTCACAGGGATTGGCAATGCAGGTCCTCATTAAAGTGAGTCTGGGGACATCCCTGACTATAGGACATGGGCAGGAAATGAGCCAGGTGAACCGGGAGCCTCCTGTCACACCAAAGGGAGAAGCTAGCAAGACTAATGGGACTCAGAGGTCCCTGGAGAGAGCTCATGAGCCAAGGACGGGGTGAGAGCAGAGGGCAGCCATGCCTGCAATGGGCTACACTCCAGAGCCTGCATCTGTGAAGAGACTGGAAGACAAAACCATTCATCAGCCACCTTTGAAGGTGTAAGACAAACACTGATTTAAACAAGCAAGAGCATCAATTACTTATCTTGTCTCTTCTGTACCAATTGTTCCCTAGGATATAGTTTTTCTGTAAGGAAGTAGTTCCAGTAAAAGCAAACTAAAGACAAAATTGGAGGGGTGTGCCTGTGAGTATCCCCCAGACAACAGTGTGCATTTGCCTGTCAGGACCAAATTGCCTGTGTATTCGCTTCATAGCATTGTGATAAAACAATACCAGAGGCAAATATCTTAGGAGAATGTTCGTTTGGCTTCCAAGTCTGTCGTGTGTCAGGCTGACCCATAGCTGAAGGGCCTATGCTGAGGGAAATACATCATGGCGTAGTGCAATGCTTGTGGGGGTGGAAGGCACCAGGGTCCCAGGGTCCCCCTTAAGGACGGCCTCTCTCGCTGGGCCTCACTTCTCAAAGGCGGCCTCCTGGTAGGACCACCCAGGGAACCAAGCCTTTCATAACTGGGACTTTGAGGGACAGTCACCCAAACCATAGGATGTAAAAGCTCATAACTGGATGCAATCAGCCCTAGAGGTCTAAAAGGTAATTTACAAGAAATACGAGGGACAAAAAAAAAGTGTGCTAAACAATACTTTAGCAATTGACCTCACCCGGACGGGTGGTCTGGTGTGTGCAGGAGGCGGTCCACAAGGAGAAGAGAAGCTGGGAGAGGAGACCGAGGTTTAAAAGGCTAATGACTGCCACGGGCATGGAGTTCCCTTCAGGGGTGACAATAAATGGTCTAAAGTCACGGTGACAATGGCTGTGCCGTTTGCAGAGTGCTCTAAAAGAAATACACTTCAGACAGGGAAACGATATGGTTCCTGAACTGTAGCTCCAAACCCGGAAGAGAGAGAAGCCCTACTAAGCCACTGCCTGAATAGACCACAGTAAGATTCTGATTCGCCAGCTTAAACTCACGGGGCACTGGGCTGTCTGGTGACACCGGGCGTCGTGGATCTTTTGGAAGGGTATATGGCAGTGGCACTGAGGTGTTACTTTCGTTCCCTATGTTATAAGTTAAGTATTTACTGATTAAACACCTAGGATTTGCTTGAGAATATTCAGTTGCTGTGGTGCCTTAGGAAGCCTGGGTTGATGTTTACAAAGCTAGGTCATGGGAGAGGTCAGTAGACTCCAAGAGCAAATTGGATTGGTGCTTTTTAGAGATGGCGACCCCAGGGTCTGACCCAGTACAGCTAATGTAGGGTGCTGGTACCTGTCACATTTAAACCCTGAGTCACCCAGACACTCACCTGCAGAGAGGCCCCATTCTCTCTAGACCTTCCTCTCCAGGGACTCCCTGGACATCTAACCAACTGTTACCCAGGCCTGGTGCTGTCCCTGGGTACTGCCAGTATAGACCATCCCCAGCCTCCGGGCCCTGGCAGTGAGTTTTGTCCTGCCTCATGCCCTCACAGAGCCCGCAGACCCAGGTCCTGGAAGGGACAGCTTACACATTGTCATTGCTTTGCCTCACAGAGCATTGGAGCCTGGTGTGGAGGTGGCCTTTCTGGGGACCCGGGCTGGTCTCCTAAGACGAAGCTTGTTCGTGGGTTCTGAGAAAATCTCTGATAGGTGAGTCCTGGGCACCCTGGGGTATGGGGCCTCTGGGAGGGAGGAAACAGACACAAGTCTTGGGTCCCCTTGAGGGATGTAGAACAAAGATGGTCTCAGTATGCTGTGTCCTGTGACTCCATGGAGGGCAGAAGACTGGGTTTCAAAGACCAGAACAGTAAAAGGAGCAGTGGCCCACTCGTCTTAGCGTGCCGTGGAGACCTATGGTGGCCCAGGAGAGGCCTATATGAGTCTGGAAGTGCAGGTCAGACATTCCACTTACAGGTATAGCAAAGGGAGGCAGGGATTGTGTCCTTCCCTGGGTCTAGCCTGGGCAACAGTTAGGTGTTCTGGTTATCCCTCCTCTTCCGTGGGTTCTTTCCCCACCCTGGGAAGGGGCTATCCTTGGAGTCCTCACTGCACACAGATCAGAGTGAGGGTCTTGCCTGCTCCGGAACAAATTTACCATTGCCCTGTCCCCAAGTTGCAGGCCCACTGCAGCTAATGGCTCCCGAGGATTGGAATTTGCTCCCCACCACTGTGGGGCATGCAAGGCAGAGGCCCCAGGTGAGCAGTCCTCGGTCACTGGGTGTTTTGTGTTTGCCAATGTCCAGAGATGGTTTGGGTTGTTGCCCTGGGAAAAGTGGAGAGATGACCATGGATGGGAGCCAGGGGTGCTGTTGGGTGTCCTCGTTGCTCAGGACAGCCCCTGAAGCAGTCATCCAGACCCACAGACCCTACTAAGCAACGTGCAGGTTGTGGGAGAGCCCTGCTAGGGACTCCGCATACTGCCCAGTCCTCCGCCCCACCCCTCAGTGCAGTTGCTCTCCTCTGGATGATTCTGCATAGAGGGCAGGAGCCTAGAAGAGGGCAGGAGCCTAGAAGAGGGCAGGGTAGTCCCACTTGCTGTCCTAAAGTTCAGAAGCTTCAGACACTGGGGGACAGTGACCGCTGAGCTGATGGGTGACTTTAAATTCCCGTCTTTCCTCCCACTCGCTCATTGCCCCACTCACTGCGTCCCAGCGCATTCAGCCACTGAGCATCTCCGTGCCTCTCTCAGGACTCAGTGAAGAGTCCGCACACGCTAAACAGGGTTGGAGGCTTTCTAGGAAAAGCAATTTGCAGGCTTCCCCTCTCCTTTCTTCTTTCCCTTCCCTAATCCCCAGAGAGCTGGGGACAGGAAAATGGCAGCGTCCTAAAAGGGCTTCTAAGGATGGGAAGACAGGGCAATGCCAACAGGCCTTCCTTGAGTGGTCAAAGACTCTGGGGAGCTGGGAAGCAGCTGCCCGAGGGGCCGCAGGTGCACTGTGTATGCCAGAGGACTCCCTTTCCCTGGACCACGGTGCAGCAGGCGACCTGGGGACTGTGGAAGAGCAAATCTGCTTCCAGAGCCGGCAAGCCACTCACTCACACATCAGTCCTCTCCCTGTGAATTCCCCACAGGTGCCTCTTAATCTTGCGCCCCGCCCAGTTTCGCCCACTTCCTAGTCAGCTTCTGGACCAGCCTCCCTCTGTAGGATTGTGTGCGCTCAGGGAAAGCAAACCCATAATTAGCAAGGAAAAGCTGCTCGAAACGGAGACTAATGTTGCACACCAAAAGCCTTCCGAAGTAACCATTTAGGGCAATCTGCGCCTCTTTACCGAAGTGATAGAATAGACACTATGGTTTCCTCGCTCAGATCTGCCAATGAGCCAGATAAAAAGAAATTATCTATACCCAAGGGAAGTGTACTTTGTTGGTAACACATCTGTATATTCCCGCTCTGCTGGCCTCCCCTTTCACCAGATGTTCCAGTGTGTTTTGCTTCTGGAAGAGGCAGGGATCGCCTGGAGCAATGCCTACTTGGGAGCTGATGGTTGTTTTCATTCTTTTTTGTTGGGAGATCTTGAAACGGGTCCTGTCATGTAGGCAACATAACTGAGGACCGTGGACATCTTCCCTAGTCCTCAGAATGCTGTGGGTGGAAGTCTTTCCTACCTACAACTCGGCCAGTGCAGACGGGAGTCTTGGTCTTGGCCCAGCCAAGATGATCGCATATGGCACAAGGAAAAGGGACAAATGTCTTCTCAGATTTGATGAGGCACCAATCCTATTCTCGCAGGAAGTTCCTGACCCCTGAAGATGAAGCCAGTATTTTTACCATGGACCACTTCCCGCTGTGGTATCGTCAGGCCTCTGAGCAGTCCCCAGGCAGTTTTGTCTTCAATCTCCGCTGGGAAGAGGGTCCAGGTAACCTACACCTCTGTGCTCTTCCTCCGAGTGGGAGATGGGGCCGGGGTGATAGGGAAGAGAAGAAGACCCCAGGGCTCCTTTCCTGCCTTTCCTCCTGACACTGCAGCTTGGGACACGCCTGGTGTTGCACACAGAATGTAGGACTGTGTGTTCTCATTCCCACCCAGCACTCAAGCTCCAGCGTGGAGCAAAGGAAAGAGATCTGACCCAAAAGCCAAACACGCTGACTCTTGGCCCACATTCCCCATGTGAGGTCAGCAGGGTTGATCTTGATCACCAAGAGGCTTCTGTTTCTAAAAACCAGAGCGGCTTCAAAGCTTCCGTAGCTGCCCAGATGAAAGTCCCAGGCTCCGCCTTAGGTCTTAACCATGTGGCTCTTCCCATCTCCACTCCCCTCAGGTTACCCAGCCCTGAGAAAGCAACTCCTGGGACATAAGGGAGACAGTCAGGGACAGCCAGCAGACCCCCACAGACCCAGGCCAGTGGACAGGGAGGAGAGGTGGTACCAAGCTGAGGACTCCCACTCCCAGCCCTGGTCACTTTGGAGGACAGCAGGAAAGAACACCAGGACCTTCACTGGGTGTGAGGAAATCAGACAGCTGAGAACCCAGGAGGGCTAAGGCTCGGTGCAGCCTTGCCCTCTTAGCTACCTATGAGGAAATGGTGGCCCAGAGAGGCTGAGGGTCTTGTCCAGGGCTCAGGAGTCTAAGAAGCAGCAAGTATCCACCAGGATTTCACAAGGGGGCTAAGTCCAATCCAGAGGGACTGGGACTTAGACAGTACCCAGTTGTGGAATGGGTGATGGGGTGGGCAAGAGGTCGAGAGGGCAACAGCAGGCATCTCAGGGATGGCATCTCTCTCTCTCTCTCTCTCTCTCTCTCTCTCTCTCTCTCTCTCTCTCT